CTTAATGGCTAGAGGGGGGTGAATATCCTATTGAAAATTTTTACAACAACACTTAGCAAAGATGTTAGACAAATATGAGGCGAAGCGAGTGTTGCGCTAGTCTACTAAAAATGCAAGCCACCTACTACAATTCTAGTGACTATGATCTCTAAGTACACAAAGGCTAAGTCACTACACTAAGTTAGTGTGCTCTCAAAGGCTAACTAAAGAGCCACACTAACCACTAGACCCGATACAAGCTTGCTCTCAAAACTAATTACACTAAAGAACGAAGCAACACTAGAAATATAAGTGCACAAGAGAGGATGGTGATGATTATATCGCCGTGTCGAGGAATTGAGCCAATCACAAGATGGAGCCAATCAATCAATCACAAGATAACCAAAAAAATCGTCAGACAATGATGACATAAGATTTTTTACCGAGGTTCACTTGCTTGCCGGCAAGCTAGTCCTCGTTGTGGTGATTCACAAACTTAGAGGTTCACCGCTAATTGGCATCTGTAGGATCACTGGAACGCCTAAAGCGGGGTGAATAGGCCTATAAAAATTCAACTCAAACCGAAGTCAAATTCACCCGCGGCACTGCTGCTCTGTGAGCGCGGCACTGCCGCACCTGCAGGAGAGATTAGTTCACAGTTCAAAATCTACCCAACAAAATTTAGATTGGGTAAATTTCTTAACTTCCTGCAGAGTAGTAGATCACAGATCGACAGCTAAAAGTGGTGGAAACACCACACATAAGTAGATCGGCCTCAAACTCTAGAGATCACCTCAACAACAATAAGAACACAAGTGTAGCAACATAAGAACAAGATGACATATGGATTTATCCCGTGGTTCAGCTCGCCACCAAGACTTACCTATGTCCACGTTGTTGAGGTATACCACTAAGGCTTAGGGATTTGCAACCCTACCTCGTTCCCAAGTCAAGAGAGTGAACTCTTGAGATGAGGGGTGATTTTAATCGCTACAAGAGGTGGCTACAAACCTTCCGGTGCTGCCACAAACTTGGCAAGCTCACCGGGCGATGCTCTAGCCGGCTAGGAGCCAAGCTCCAAGAGTAACAAACACAACCGCCGGCTAAGATGTGAACCAAGTGCTCTTTAGAGTTTAGGAATCAATGGAGTTGATCTCTATTTGAGTTTTGGACCCTTTTCCCTCAAGGATTGATGGGGAAATCAATGAATTTGCTTAGGGGCTTGAGGTCAATAATGGTGTGAGAGAGAGAGCTCATGCTCTGTTTTGGTGTGCTGAAGTGAGGAAGAAGAGAGCCGGTTGGTTACCATTGGAAAGGAAGGGGAAAGGTATATATACCCCTCAGCCCCCAACGACCAATTTAAATCACAGATAGCCGTTGAAGAGGAAAGGGAAATGTATATATACCCCCAGCCCTCAACGGACACTGCACCCAAGAGGTCGGGCGAGACGAGGACACGATCAAAAGGGTCGGGCGAGACAGAGGCCGCGACCAAAGGGTCGGGCGATCCGGAGCTCGGGACCTTGGGGTCGGGCGAGATGGAGCCCACGACCAAAGGGTTGGGCGAGTCAGAGTCCATGACCTTGGGGTCGGGCGAGACAGAGCCCGCGCCCAAGGGGTTAGGCGAGTCGGAGCTTGCACCCAAGGGGTCGAGCGAGTCGGAGTTCACACCATGCAAGATAGCAAGGGTAATAGTAAAGTGCAGACTGTCTTGACTGTGAATCTAAGGATGCTTGTGGTTGTTTGAGCACTTGGTAGCACATATTAGCTTAAGCATTGTACCCCCCTTTATAGTACGGCTTTTTCTATACTCAAATTCAATATATAAAATAATTTAAACCTCATTTGAGTTTGAAGCCATCTACATTTATAATTGGAGACTCCTCTGTTCCGTGTAGCATCCTCGAATATAAATCCCTGCTTGTCATCTTGATAATTCTCATTAGTTCTCTAATTACGTTGTCATTATCACCAAAACCCATAATTAAGGCTTGATTGCACTTTCAGCATCACACGCTAAACCCGCAACCGGGTGCCGCACAACCAACACAAGATGAGGATCACACAAGTTACGAGCAATCCACTATAGTTCTTTTTGGCTCTTCGCCAGGGAAAGGTCAAGAACCCCTCACAACCACCACGATCGGAGCTGGAGACAATCACCAACCTCCACTCGACGATCATCGTTGTACTAAGCCGTCTAAGTAGCGGCAACCACCAAGAGTAACAAAGCGAATCCCGTAGCGAAACACGAACATCAAGTGCCTCTAGATGCAATCACTCAAGCAATGCATTTGGATTCACTCCCAATCTCACAAAGATGATGTATCAATTATGGAGATGAGTAGGAGGGCTTTGGCTAAACTCACAAGGTTGCTATGTCAAAGCAAATAACCAAGAGAGTGAGCTTGAGTCGGCCAAGGGGCTTAAATAGAGGCTCCCACGAAATAGAGCCATTGGTCCCCTGCACCTCACTGTCCTCGGGGTGACCGGACGCGTCGGTCAAGATGACCGAACGCGCGGCACCCTAGCGCCCGGTCGTGGATCATCGTCCACGTGTCCCTGTTTAAACCACGGTCGCCCGATCTCCAATGGTCGAAATCTCCCGCGCGACTGAGTTAGTGACGATCGGACGTGCCACGTCATGACCTGACGTAATCGCCCGACGTACGATCCTGCAAAGCCCGCGCATAGACAACCAACGACCGACGCGCCGCTCCCTTCGGCTTCCCGGCGTCAGGTCATTTCCAGAGAGGATCCAGAGGCGACAAAAGCCAATCGGACGCGTCAGGTCCTCGCTGCCTCAGCCGCCCGCGCTACGTCACCATACATCATACGTGACCGGACTCACCATCAACGCGTCAGGTCACAAAGTGACCCAGCGTTCGATCACACGCAACACCGAGCCCGAGCGTGCCAACTTTCTTAAAATTGACCAGACGCTGAAGACCCCGATTCCGATCACTTCGCCACCTGCATCCGGTCATTGATTTTCAGTGACAATCACTTCCTTCACTTCACCAACTTCTCCACCCTTGCTCAAATGTGCTAACCACCAAGTGTATCACCTTGTGCACGTGTGTTAGCATATTTTCATAAACATTTTCAAGGGTATTAGCACTCCACTAGATCTAAATGTATATGCAATGAGTTAGAGCATCTAGTGACACTTTGATAACCGCATTTCGATATGATTACACTCGCTAAGTGTCTCGATCACTAAACCAAAAAGCTCATATCAAATTTCACATTTGCCTTGAGCTTTTGTTTTTCTCTTTCTTCTTTTCCAAGCCGAGCACTTGATCACCATGGCCACCACACCATCATCATGATCTTCACCATTACTCCACCACTTGGAATGTGCCACCTATCTCATGATCACTAGAGGAAAAATTAGCATTTAGGGTTTCATCAATCTATCAAAACTAAACTAGAGCTTTCAAAAGAGAATTGTCGGGGAGGGGCGAAGTCTAGTAGCTAGTCTACTAGGGTTGGGATTTTTTTCCCCACCATTAATAGGACATGTAGGCTGCCGAGATGTTCTCATGGAGCACACCGTATCAATCAGCACAGACAGGCTCGCATCAAAACTTGATCCTGACAAGGCTGACACGATCGGAAACATCAAACTCGTCGATGGGTTCAGGGCTTCAGGCACAAGCATACAGAACGCATTTGTCCAGCTCCAGCAGCGAATCGCAAAGGCATGTGCCGGCCCCCGTCAAGGTCGTCGTGCCGACGTCCGTGCATGGGCCCATCCCCAGGTCGCGTCACGTACGTGCATCGCGTGCACGGCCAAGACCCGAAGCATCGAAATCGAAACCCCGCATTCCGTCGAGCAAACCACGCCACCGGATCGCTCATCAGTCACCACGTACGCCGCCGTCTCTCCACACGCCCCATGCCGGGTTTGGACGCGCCCCCCTGGTGCATTAGCATTATTATCTGACCTGACAGGATAAACTTATCGCATAATAATGCACTCTGGTCTCTGGAAACGTACTGTGTATGTCGCGCGGAAGGCCGTGCTCGCACACGCCCCGGTTTGTACTCTTTTCCGTGATCCGGAGCCCGGCGAAGAATATCGGCTAGTGAGCAGGTCGGTGGACGAGTGCGACGGGTTAGGCTTCGTGTCAACGCCGGGGAGGGCGCTGGGCTTCTCCAATCTCCAGTGTGTAGTGTAACAGTCAAAAAGGCTGTTCGGTGACGACGACTGTGGCACGAAGCGCCCGTGAAAATCTGGTAAATATCTTTTTCCAGCAAAGATGATAATGTACGTAATACGTGGCTGTCGCTGATCGGCAAAGGCTAGAGGGGGCTAGTGCAGTAGTGGTCACGGCCTCTGAAACTGCGCGCAGACGCGCTGTGAAGGGCTTTCCGGTGTACGAGCTGAACTAGGCGCCGGCCGTTTCCTGTACGATAGACTGGCTCGGGCACATGGTGTGGACGGGCCACAGCTTCACGGGAGGTCCAGAGGAACCGAGGAAGTAGTCAAGTAGAGTTGTGCCGCTGCCAGAATGCGCCAGTACGTATGTATAGCGTGCCTCTTTCGGTGCCTTCGGTACGAGTCTAGCGATCGTACTCTGCTTGGTGCTCAACAGCCTGGAGCACGTGCCCGTGAGCGCCGTTGAAGAACGTCGTCACGTTTGTTTGGCCTTGTATAAAGCCAAATACGACTAAACGAACCGGCTGCATGTGCGCAGCTAGAATGTATGCTTCGGTCGGGTGAAACCGTTGTGCTCATTACCTAGAGTGGTTTCCGTGTATCAATCTTTGTTCAACAGAACATGCAACGAGTCAGTAATCGTGAATTCGTGCTCGGTGTGCAGACGACATTCTCACTTTCCACCTGGGAACGCAGAGCAAGATTGAGATCGCCGATGATAGCAGTCCCAAGGTGTATTGGGGGTAGAAAGTAGAAACACGCAGGATCCGAGGTATACACCGGGATTACCACAATCTTCTTATTCGGATATTATTTTCCACCATCTACATAATTACATGATGCGCGTTGCTATACACTAGTACTCCATAGTCATAGAACATCCATCCATGATCCATGCCACCTCGTCGCCCTCGACGACTCTGCGCTCTACCACATTTCTACAGCCAGCCTCCATGCCTCCCGGCCGCCGGTTGGCCCCGACAAGCTCGTCGGGACCCGAGAGGCCCTCGTCCTTCCCTGCCGGGTCAAAAGCTCCATTTGCCCGGGTTCCCGGGGCGGGGGAAGAAGCACCACCACCACCATCATGTCCTCCTGGATCACAACTCGCTCCACTGCCCACGGCACGCACGCACGCACTCACACTCTTCTAATCAGACTAAGTAAAGGGACGATATCATGTGTCAGCTCCACTCCACCGCCCGCCCGGGCCATGCATGGTGTGGTGTCGTGGTCTAGGCGTCTCGCCGCGTGGCCGCCGCCCCCGTGCATGCTGCAAGAACTTTACTTCTTGAATTCTTTTTCTTTTCTTTTGGCCGGCCGAATCGTGCTGATCCTCGGCGCGGCCACTGCGGTGCCCGTGAGCGCGTCAATCGAGTGGGTAGCACGTGTCCTCACCTCCGGTGTTCCAGAGGAAGTGCGCGTAGGCCGCGGCGTGGTGAGCGTTCCCGGGGTCGGCCGCGATGGCCTCCTGGTAGGTGTCCTCCGCGCCGGCGAGGTCGTTCCGCGCCTTCCACAGAAAGGTAGCGTACCAGCTCAGCGCCTCTGAGTCCGCCGGCTCAGCGCGCACAGCCCTCTCGAAGTAGTGCTCCGCCCTGCAAAGAGATGAGTGAGAGCTAGTATTGATGAATAACTGCGGCTGCATTGGCAATTCGTCGAACAGTGTGTGGGCGTGGACGAGGGGACCTACCGGTCGTGGTCGTTCTGCACGAGGTAGAGGAACTGCGCGAAGTTGGCGAGGATGAGCGAGTTATTGGGCTCAGCGGCGACGGCCTGCTCGTACCTCTGCTGCGTCAGCGTGTGCTCGGCGTGATCCTCAGTCTCCAGCTCCACCTCCACCGGCGCGACGAGGCTTCTTAGCACGTCCAACTCGCTCAGCTCCTCGGCGCGCGCGCTGGCCTGCATCTTGGAGGCCTCCGCGAGCATCATTTCCCAAATGGCCTGCTCGTCCGCGTTCGCAGCGTCTTGGGCGGCGACCTCAGCCGCAGGGGGCGCCGACGGCTGCTGCGGCGCCACACGGCTTAGCCGATACAAGGACTCGTCCGACCGGCCGTCGCCGGTGGCGCCAGCGACAGGCGGCGTCTTGCCGCCGCCGCCGCTGTTCCCGCCGACCGAGGCCGTCCGGCCGACGGAGAACGTCTTCACCGAAGCCGCGTCGAACCGCGGCCGTGACGGCTCGGCGCGCTGGGTGTTGACCAGGGCGACAGCAGGCGGGGTGGGCGGGATGATGGCGGCCGCAGCGGCGATGCTGTGGCCCATCGATTGGACGGTGAAGTTGGCGAGGAGGAGCATGAGGGAGACCATGAGCGCCGGCGTGCCCGCGAAGATGTGCTGGAAGAGCCAGACGAAGGAGGCGTGCATCTCGCCCTGCACGCGAGCCAGGACGCCCTGCAGGTCGTCGCAGAGCAGCGCGTCACGCATCTGCTGCAGCGCGAAGCTCTGCATCTCCCGCACAATGAGCACCATGGAGGAGAAGGCGCGGCCCACCGACTCCCCGGCGGAGCCCAGCAGCAGCCCCTCGTCCCAGCGCGAATGCCGCGCCGCCACCACCTGCTGCCGCTGAGCCTGCGCCTGCTGTTGCTGCTTTTTCCGCTTCAGCATCCGCAGCGACAGCGGCAGGCCGACGTTGCTCGCACTCCGCTCCACGCTCGCGGGCCACCCGCAACCCGCCGCGCCCGCCGGCTGCACCCCGGCCGCCGCCGCGAGCTCCTCGATCCTCTTCATGAACTCCGCGTCCCCGCCACCCATTCCATCCAAACTCGCGCTCAGCGCGCACCTCGCTGGCATCCGAGCCAGGCGCGGCCGCCGCACCATCACACCGGTTCCCCAGGTTAGGGGTGACCGGGATCTCGCGAGCCCCGCGCATCCGCCGCCGCCGCCCCCGCCTCCGAGGAAGGCGGGCAACGGCCGCGAGGAGGTCGAGGGCGACGACGAGGCGGAGGAGGAGCGCGCGCACGGCGACGGTGCCACGGCGGCCACCTGGAAGCCCATGACCTTGTTCCGCTGCGGTGTCGAGCGCCCCCGGCTGGCTGGCCTTTGGTTGGGCCACCACCGCACGGGGGAGGTGTGGAAATAGCAGGAGGCGGACGGCCAGCGCTTTCCCTCCTAGGCCTGTTCGTTTAGACGCTTATAAGCATCGTCTTAAAAAGCATCGTCGACTGATTGGGGGCGAAAGAAAAATACTATACATTGACGAATAAATTATAGCTTATAAATTAAATATTGTCAAGAAGTGAAAGCGCTCGGGCACTTTTAATTAAAGGCGTATTCTTTTCTCTGTTACGAGACCAGTGACTAAGGTCATATTCGCTTGAGCTACTTTTTGTTATGAAACAATGTTTTTTCTCATAATATTTTAGTCTAAGCATCACCTAAGCTAAATTTTAGCATAAGCGAACATGGTGTAAAACAGGAATTAAAATAGTGTTTTATTTTCAGGGACTAAAATGGGAGGAGAGAGATTGCGAGAGAAAAGATAGGAAGGGATATGGACTGTTTAGTCTCAATTAACAGCTCTAAAGGATTACATTTTAGTCCATAGTTCCTGTTTTAGACCTTGATGTTTGGTTTAAAGGAACTAGTTAAAACTAAAATTTACTCTTTAGTTCTCTTCTTCCATGGAAAAAAACATACCCTAAGAAGAGCTTGTTCATTTGTTCGTATCAAATCATGGATTATAAGTTGAAATAATATTTTTCTTTTATACTAAATAATTAACAGTAAATAATCCATAATCATTTACGACGAAACGAACTGGCTACCGGATGGGCGTCCTGGTCTCCCCACGCTGCTCGTGAACCGGCCGACTTGTGTGGTGACAGTGCGTGCGAAGTCAGTTAAAATCGCAGCCGTTTGTAAAGCCACCCAAAAGTCTTTATACCATTATTATTACAAAATTATGATTATGGTTGATTTTTTTTCAATATTTTTATTTGTGGTACAACATACTCCGTTGGAATATAAAATTGGTATGTCCATAACAAGTGTACTTTTGATATTCTTTATTTGAACATTGTTTGGAATAAAATGTGCTCTATGTCTGTACTCTAACTCCATTGTTTTGTATTTACATGTAGGAATAGAGATTTTAGATTGTGACATTACTATTTTTTACTTAGTTGATATCAGAATTAATGGCAATACCAAACCATCATAGTTTTTTTATCAAAGGCTTTAGCCCAGTTTTATTAGAAAGCGTAATGCTGAACCCGATCTGACACTGGGAAAACCAATTTTACAATGAAGCTTACATCTTCTAAATGCTCCTAGGTGACACCAAAACAGAGCTCTACTGACCAGCAGATTCAGACTTCTCACTCAACCAACCAAACTTCTACCTGGCTGAAGAACAACCATCATAGGTTTCGGGCAGGGACTATCCTTACAATTTAGAGGGTACTACAAAGTGTCATTAACTGCAAATTCATGCGATCGTATCCTTTTCAAATTCCTACTAGCAGTGTGTGCATGAGGTGAAAAACGGATTTTCTTACAGAAATGCTATACAACACTCGAATACAACACTCGAATGTTGGAACACTCGATTCTTCTCTTCCTCTCCATCTGTGACCTCTCCATCTCTTCTCCATCTCCGAGGCCGGCAGGCCAGGCGGTGCGGCGGGCGGGAGAGACGGCGGTGCCGCCGCCGGAGTGGACGACGGTGGATACGGCCGAAGCCATGGTCACCACGCGACAAAGAGGGTGGGGGAGGAGGTTGCATGGGCGCGAAGCTGCAGCGAGACCCTACCACACCGCCGCGGGGCCGTGGACGGTGGGTGGCGGCGCCGCGTCAGGAGAAAGAAGTTGTAAAAAAAAATCAAGTGTTCAGCCCCTGAGGCCTTCTCGAACGCTGCTTTTCTACTAGTAGCCCCAAGTGCCATGTAGTATCGGATAAAAGAAAGTATGTGCTCTATACTTGTCATAGTGGTTTGTAGAAGCTACGTATGCTTGAAGAGAGAGAAGGTGGTCCATGCTAAAAAAGAAGAGGGAGAGAAAATAAAGGTGAGGTATGATAAAAGAAAAAAGTTTATTTGTAAACCACAAGTAGTGGTAGTTTGCATTGTATAAATAGTAGTTTCAATATTTTCTAGTCTACGTGGATCATTTTATTTATACTAGAACCACTAAGAGCAAGGACAATGTATGTAGACCAGGTAGTCCATAAAGGTGGGTCCGGTGTGAGCTGACCATAGTTATGTATTTTGCTATAATGTAGAGTCCATGAAGGTGGACCCTGCTTGGTATAAAAGAATGTTAAAAAAAGCAATCATCCCTTCCTGGGGCAGCTAGCTAGCAAGATGACAGGGAAAGAGAGGAAGAAAAAAATATTTTTCTATTGTTTATGGGTAATCCATAAGCATATTGATAGTTTTAGTTATAGATTGTTCTATGGACTACTCATACAATGTTTCAGCTAATCTATAGTGAATATTTAAATACTTATATAGGCTACTTCTGAGCCACATTGTTGTTGATCTAAGAGTGTTAGTCTTCGTTGTGGTGCCCTTGATCTCTCAGGGTGTTAGGTAGACAGGTCCTTTTCTTAAGAAGACTAGGGGTCCTAAAAGAAAAGGCTAAAAACTCCAAAGGCAGCAAAATCACCACTAACACTAACCGTGTGATTGGCAGCTAAACGGCGCGGGACGAGCTCGTGCATCGCGCTCCCCACTAGAGCACGACGGCACCTTGGTCCCACCCGCCCAAAAGCAGTAAAGCTTTTTTTATTTATTTGGAAAGCAGCAAAGCTGGTTGGTGACACTGACGCGACGCAGGCGATGAGAAAAAATATCGCGGGCGAACGCGCGCGAGGGCAAAAGATGGGCGCGACGCCGCACCAGAATCCAACCTGGGTTTTGTTTGTACGGGTCGGCCCGGGCAAGGGAAGGGAGGCCCGCGTCGGGGCTCCAGCGCTTTCCTGGGGTTATCGGACGGTGGCCGACGGTGGGATGGAATTCAGACCATCGGATGGGCGCCGATCTCGCCGGATGGGACCTGGACGCTTCCCCACGCCCGTCCACGCGCCGCACATGTGGAAATTGCATGGGCTCTCGGGACGGAGGGCGGGCCTGCTGCTAGCTGTGCGATTGCGGCGCAGGGATGGGGGCGGCCGTGTCGTCCGCGTGCGGGCATTGGGGCGGGGGCATAGCAGCTGTAGCTGGGTGAGAGCAAGTCTAATAATATAAATAATCGCTGGCAGTCTCAATCCGTCTCTTCAGCATGAATATGATCCGTTCTTGTCTAAGAACAACTCCAATAGAGATGCTATTTTTAATTTTGAATCCAGTTTAAATAATTTATGGTATAAAATAGACTCCAACATATATTATATATGACTTTCTAAAATACCCAGCCGACTATCCCATAAATTCCACTAGATAAATAAAGCAAACCTACGACGCTCGCCATCGCTCCTCCCGTGCGATTTCCCAAGTGCGGGGAGTCCTTCCCGCGAGAGAGGGCTTCGCGCGGCTCTATTCTCCCGACACCCCACCGGTACACTGCTTTGTCTGGCTTCGACCCTTCCCGTCCACAACCACCGTCATGCTCTACGGCGTCGTCGCTTCCCCCTAGGTGCCGGTGCTCGTCAACATTGTCATGGATACGCAAATTCACGTAGCTGCGTGCCTGCGTTCACCATCCTCCTCCCTGTCCTTGTGCCGCCCCAGTGCCCCACACCGGCTGAGCTGCAGGAGGAGGCGGTCATGGCGGCGCCGGGTGATGGTGGGAAACAGCACAACTTAACTAGTCATCGATCACCGCACCCCGCACTGAGGCTCTGTGGAGGCCGCCGAACTCTGGCGCCGTGTAGCAAACTCAGATGTCTTTGGTTCTCATTGCCACTGCCATGCACTGCACGCACTCCAAAGAGTAGCGAGACTAGCAACAATGCTTTTTCTTTTAATAGAGTACTAGGCTACTACTCCAGTAGAACAAATCGAAGAGATCAGCAGCTAGCTCTGGAATTGGAAATTGCAGTGATCAGACTTGACAAAGTTCATCTATATTGTGCTGGAATATACAGTTTTGTACTGAGCCATGTCAATGATCTGTACTTTGCAATGTCATCGATATGAACTCTGTAAAGGAGCTGCTTCTAATGTGAGCATGATGAAGATGCTACTACCTGTGTTTCAGGCACCATCACGGTAGTTTGCCCGGTTGGAATTTGGGCAGGTGACTTCGAACTTTTCAATACAGAAGATGAGAAATAACTAGGCTGTCGTAGAGTCCTCTTCTTTCGAGGAGTTTTCTATTTTACAGAATAGCTAAAATATGAAATTTGACAACTAATTTTAGACAATCTCTTGGAGATGCTCTAAGCCGATTGTATACTTATAGTTCGCTTCTCCTCTTCTTCTCTTTCCACCTTATCATTCAACCTGTTTACAACCTGTTATTATACTTGCTCTGAGCCGTGCAAGCCGGATCAGGATTGTCGGGAGGACTAGTAGTCTGTTTGTTTTATACGAAATTGAAACAAGCGTTTCAGCTTTATTACGAAATCTAAATTAAATATAGATCTAAAAGTCAAATATATACAGCCTATTCGTTTATTGGTTTCAGTCACGGCTTATCAGCTAACCAACAGTGTTTTACTCTCACAACAAACCAGCACTAGTCGAGCTTATCAGCCCAGAAACCAACCAGCGAACATGCTCATAGATTTCATAAATCTTCTCAAAGGATAGGAACTGAAATTTATCTTCTTCCTCCTTCTCTCTCTGGATCTAGAATAAAGATAGCGTCAACTGTGAATTCTCCTACTTTAGCTACCTTTGTCGAGACAAATTCAATAAAGATAGCGTCAACACGTCGTCGCCAACTTCGGCATAGTCTTATAGCGACGTTTCAAAAGAAGCCACTTCCTCCGTCCCATAGAGTTTTAATTTTTTTTCCAAAATAAGTGTACCTTTATAAATAAGACAACCTAATTGTAGTCTTTTTTTCTACTTTCTCTTCTCCAAAGATGCAATGATTACACCTTTATAAAA